CTCCTTCTGACATCACATATTTATTTCTCGTGCTGATCTAGCTATTTTCAGCAGTTTTCATCTCGATCCAATCAAAGATAGACGAAATTTAATTGAATGACCACTTCGATCCGTGCTTCGTTTCTTTTCATCGTATTTTCTCAGCAATGTCGAAGTTGAAGACAACCTCATATAGCGCATTTTGTAGAACAAGATTTGCTCTGTCAGATCCGATATCTCTTGAATTTCAGAGTATCTATTAGCGCTAATGGCAAAGGACAACCCTTTTTTGCAGTATATTTGAATATGGTGACCAGACAGTCATCGTGATGTGTCGAAGTTTTGTTTTGAATGTCACGAATTTGAGTCCTTTTCCATATGCTGAATCCGAATATAACATTGGAATTGATATGTAACCTCATCATGACAAAATAATATGAACATCAAAATTATAGCCACTTTTGATGTCCACTTGGGGGGGGGGGGAGCCTCAGTATTGGAGCAATATCTGCCTGAAATCAGAGTCAAAATTAAGTTTCAGAGATAAAAAAAAGTAATCTGCGCTTCAAGCTCTGTAAAATCTGAAAGTTGCACGCAATTTGGAGAGATGGATTAGTCATAAAAATAGAAAAAACTCAAATATAATCTAATATTAAAGATTTTCATTTGTAAAATCCACAGAGAGCCTCTAGAAGCGCAGGATGATTTGAGTATCTCAATACTCCTCTCTTAATTATAGATGTGTTGCTCATACAGAATTAGGCATTTATGGTAAGTTTCAACTCAATATGATTAAAAAACGGGCGAAATATTGAGAAATAACCGCTTGATTTTCCATTTATTTCTTTCCGTCCCTTTTTCTCGACAATCTCAAAGTTGAAGAGAACCTCATATAGTACATCTTGTAGAGCAAACTCTGCTCTACCAAACCCAATATCTTACTCATCTTCAAGTGCCCGTTTGTGAAAATGGCTAGGAACGACTCTATCCGACCAAAAGTCAAGTATGTCATTCCTTGGTTTCAGGTATATGCTGTTGTCTCTCAGATTGATATAATCTCCAGTCCTTTCTGATGTGCTGATTATGAATATGACACTAGAAATTATATGTGGCCTTATTGTCGAAAAAGAGTATAGACAATGAAGTTTTGATCATTTTTACGGAGCTTCCAGTATTTGACTATTATTTTTATAAAACAAGGCTCAAAATTAAATTTAAAGAAGAGAAAAATGATCAGCCGTTCAAGCTCTACAAACCCTGAAAGTTTCATCGAAATTGAAGATACGCGCCTCTATGGTGGTACAGACTCCGCTAAATCACCCACTTGCGACAATCTCCTCTTACAAGTTCTTGATTTTGAGCGACACAATTATCGATGAACGAATTAAGTAGGTAGTTTAGAGACTAGTGTTGACATGCATTTCTCGAATTAAATGTAACAGAGATAGTAAGAACTGAATGCAGATTTCTTAGTTCTCGTGAAGTGTCATGAAAGCTGCGCTACTGTAGCGCTTGCACGGAGTCATCGATTCCCTCAACTTCGGTAATATGGAAATGGCCCTCTTTCTATCTTTAACTCTTCCAGATCTATACAACTACGATCTGCTTGTGAACCAGGCGACGAATCGAGACACTGTCGATGTGAACAATATCAGCATGAAATCGGTCACAGCAATGTGTGGATCAACACTCGGGCTCAAAGCCGGCAGCCATTCTCTGTTGGTGACGGCTCACGAGACCGTGCGGAATATCCTTGGTACGAAAAAATATCAAAAAGAAAAATATAAAAATAAGGATTCCGTCGAATTTCTGTGGAAATCCGACGAAATCCTTTTTCGTTTTCTCTTCACCATACTCTAGTTCTGGATTTGATTTAGAATATGTGGGCAAGAAAGCGGCGGTGCAGCGATGCAGCTTATTCCAGGTGATTGAAAGCAGGCGGGTAGCGGTAGAACACGAGTGGCCACAAGAAAACGAAGGCCGATGCTTTATCATGCCAACGATTCTAAGACATGTCGAGAACGACGCGGTCTTTGCTATGACGCGTGATGATCTGTCTAATTCACATGCTGATTTGGAGTTCTTCAAACTCAACGACGTCGTGAGCTTCTTATTGTTGCCAATTCGGAATCCACAAGCACCTTCAACCATTATCGGCTTTCTATCATTTGCTTCCAATGTCCCGCGAGAATGGACACAAGGAGATATGCTCCTCTTAGAAATGGCTCGAGATCTGGTTAGTGCGACCTTGATTCATCCAGACATCTTCATTAGTCTAGATCAAGAGATAGCCCGTTTGCCTGCCACAGATATAGAGGCTCGCTTTTCTGATGAGCAGCATGCTATCATGGATCGAATCATTGTTTTATTTGAGCGAATGCGTCGTCAGTCCAAGATCAAAGACCTTTGGGAGTCAGTTGGCGTGAGCGCTTTCAAGAACAAAATTGCACGCTTCATCATATCGAACCAAACCATTACCATGGCTCTACCTGCTTTTCCGTATAAGAGCATGGACAAGAACAGTAAGGTCATCGGTACACTTCCCGATATGGGAGAAGCATTGGCACTCGCGAATTTGAATTTATTTGCGCTGCAAGTGAGCGAGGTGTATCAACCAGGCTGCAAAATCCTTGTAATTAGTGACGGTCGTGTTTTCAACGACTTGTATCCACTTCCTGATGTCGCTGTCTCTGCTTACACGCATTGCATACACTCGCTAGGCCAAGGCCAACTGCAATTTATTGGGCTAGACCAAATGTTCTCATCATCGACAGAAAGCCAATTCAAGCGGGATGCGATTGTTCACTTATACGGCGGTAATGTCGAGAGCGTAAACCGAAAATTAAGAGAAGATGCGCACTTTCACCAAGTGTACATAGCGTTCAAGAAACTTCTTCGTAAAGATATTGGCGAACAAAGACGATCAGCGGCAGAGAAGGCGAAAATAATGATGATGCGTAACGACAGTTACAGCGAACTGATCCGAATTCTGTTTCCACATCACGTGCGTCTGTCCATCCATGACCACAGTAGCGCAGAAAAGATTAGTGTGCATCTTGTTGGAGACAGCATTATCACACCCTGGCATGGGGTTGCGGTGAAGCGGAAGGATGGAACCTGGGCGATTATGAGAAAGAAAACGGCGCTGGAAATGGGCTGTATCTTAGAAGATGCAATGAGCCCAGCAAATCGCGAAGACATTCTGTACAATGACCTCAAATGGCTCAACCTGACACAAAATGAATTCTTTTCATCTTTGCCATTTTATCGAGAGATTTGATCATCATGTCAAGTGAATAATGAAAAAATGGTCATTAAAATCCCTTATTATCCGTAACTAGACCATTCTGACCATTAAAATGCTCCGTTTTCAATAAATAATGGAGAAATATTCATTAAAATGCATTTCGATCTAATAATAATCCATTTTGACCATTTCCTGAAAATAGACTCTACTTTTTTAAAGTTTTAGGCTAATGTAGAAGCCATTTTAAGCGCCTAGAAGTTGTACGCTAATATTACTTTTGAGTTATAAGTGTTTAGTTTTTAGAGTAATATAAGTTGAGAACATTCTTTCAAATTAGGATATTGACAACAAAGAAAAGTATTTTAATACTGATGGATCATCGTCAAATATTGGTCGAAAAGCGAGTTTCGTGTAATTTGAGATAGTTGAATAATAGCTGTAGAGTCAGGTACAGCGGTATGCTTTCAAATATTTTTTGCATATAAAACTTCTTCCTTGGATGTTGAGAGTGTCAGCTGTTAAAATTATTTTCACTTTGTTCAAAACGAGATAGATCTCATCTTTATCAATCAAATGAGCGACATGCACTATGAATCCAACTGAATAAGTATTCGTTTTTGATTTATACAAGATGCAAGTGTCACTAGAACGTCGACGTACAGTAAAATCATCTATACTGAAGCGCAAATCATCAATAAATAATGTTTTGTAAAGTGAAATGGTAAACTGAGATAAATTCAGATATTTGCTGAAGAAGTTGGATGATGTTGAATTGATTTTGTTAGGGTGTGGGTATGAATATAGAATAAATACGAACATCCACACCCACACCCATATTTGTTTTATACTTTCATTTGCCTCTTCGTTATATGTCTCGTCATAAATTGCATTGGTTTTAATGTGATCATATTCTTTTAATTACACGAAAGAAAACTGCACTAATCAAAGATATTGTTTTAACTCAAGCCTTTCTCGTTTGAAAGATTTCCCTAATTACTATTTGTCAGCTTTGATTGGCGATTTTGTGCAACAGCTTACTGTTATCTTATCTTGATGAGAACAAACTAATTGAACAACAGAAGCTAGAATGAGAAATGAATTCCCAGTTATAGAATTCAGCATCTTTGAAAGATCAGAAATTCCAATTAGTGTGGGTTGGCCTGACTCCGCATACAAGCCAGACCAGAACGAAGATTATTTGGTGAATTTTAGCCCAGTTTTCAGGCATTCTGAGTGAGACTGTGCCAGATTCAACCAAGAAAAGGTGATCTGTTGACAGATCTGGCTTTGTTGAGCATATCAGAAAAGGAAAAATGCTTGAAATGAGACTAAATCATTATTTCACGAATATCTTCGAATAAAGAAAAAACTTCAGTTCAATTTTAAGTGTATAAATGAAATATAGATTAATTATAAATTTTTCTTTTTGGTCATCGATTATATTTTTGATGATCAAGATAGATTCGAAAGAACTAGAATTAATTTATAGTTCAATGTCTAATACTTACATCTAAAACTGGACCAATGTAGTCGCATTTGTTAAGATTAAACCAAAACAACTGTTATTTCAAGTCTCGTGGACTTAAAATATACAACATGATGTAGCTGCTCTTGTTGATCGTAGGGAGATTCATTTATTTTACGTATTGTCAGATAGATTTATTCATTATTCTTTATCACTCTTTTACTAAATCTTTCAGAGATCCAATAAGGAAATAGTTCATATATTATAACGAGACTTTATTGATATGTGATCTGTAATCGTCTATGAACAATGTTTGTTACAGAGTGTAAGGCAAGCAATCAGAGCAGGGGAAAGAAGCTCGAAGGGTGTGGGTCTTCTCTACACAAGAACCCATACCCACACGCCACACACACGTCCACACCCACCCACACCCACACTCACACCTTCACAAGAAATGTGCTTTCGGCTTTTTTTCTGCTTTCGGCGATACACTTTCTGTCATTTTCTGACTTTTATAAATTGTTTTCTGCTTTTTGGCCTTCAAAAGATGGCAACACTAATTAACTATCAGTAATGTATCAGGTTGATGTTGGACCATTTTATTTTGATCAAGATCTATCATTTGATGAATATTCCAAGACAAAATCACAACCAATTTTATGTTGAAAATGTACCTAGTGGAATGAATATACGTACTTTTTTTGATTGACTCTCAGCTCGTTCATGTGTAAATTTGATTAAATTCCTTTTATTGATTGTATTTGTTTTATAATAAATAAATTGATTAAATACATAATAAATATGTGATGATTTTTCATGTTGAGTTGATGGTGAATAATTTATAGCCCATATAATACTGTATTTAATTGTAATAATTTAATAAATATATATTTGAATGGATATTGTATCAATTTTGAATTAAAAATTGAATTGTACATCAGAAACAGTTCCATTATTTCCACAACAATTAATACAAGAACGATCTTTATCTGATGGATCAATAAAAATCTTAAAAACATCAACAGATGATTCATTATTATTAATAAAAACTTCAACATTAATCTCTATTCCATTAAATTCTTCAATATCATTAAATGATCCACGTTTAAAAACTTTTAAACAAACTCGAAATATTTTCTATCACGAATTGCAAGCTGTTAAACATGCCTTACAACAACAAAAACGTCTTAATCATTATTATGATTTAAAAAATGGTTTAACACCTAAAGCAAGTTATACAGTTATATCATATATTATTCGTCAAGTATCAAATGATGAATATGAACGTTTACTAAAACCAAAAACATATAATCAAATGTATATCGATTTCGAACAAAATGAAAATCGATTAGCATATGAACAAATTGAAATGTCAAATGAATTAATTGAACGTGAAAAATAATTAAATTCTCAATAAATACGTTTACGTTTACGTTGAAAACGACAAAGAAAAATTCAACAACAATTAAATGAAAAACAATATTCGAATAAATCATCATCATTAATAAATCCATTATTATCAAATACAAAATTACATATAACAAATGGTAAACAATTATTAAAAGAATGTAAATTATTAATATCAACACCAAATACAAATATATCATCAGATATATTAGATTTTTTTTTCAAGAGAATATCGAAATGAAAATCGTTCACATGTTAAACATCTTTTAGCTAAACTTGTTGGGATTTTTATTGAAAAATATCATATTAAAAATAATGAAACAGTTGAAACCATAGTAGAAAATCATCATTCAATCCAAGGTATGATTTTAAACTAGAATTTTTTCTATTAAATTATTCGTTTTTTTTTTTTTGTTTAAAGAATCTATTACCGATGATCAAACAATCAATTGTGTTGTTCATATGGATCTTGATTCACGATCATCTTAGAGATTATGTGATCATGATGAACGTTTTCGAATACCAAAACCACCATCTGCACCTCCACCTCCATCTTTACCACAACTATCGCAAATAACATTATCATCAATATCATCTACCAATGAAAATATCTATGCACAATCATTTTCATCTATTTTTATTCTTACTCCTCCATTACCAAATGAACCAAATAAAATTTTTGATGATGAAAATTATAATGATCGTTATAATAAATTAGTTGAACAATTAAAAGAACAATATCGACAAAAAGAAATATTATTATCAAATTCACTTATAACAACAAAAGCGGAATCAATTATTCCTTCTGAAGAAACTATTCTTAAAACATGTTTAGGAAAATTTGAATCATTATCATCATCATCACCATCAAGTGAACATAGTTCAATTGTTGATGATAATCATTCATTAAATATAAATAATAATAATAATGATTTACAAAAAGAAAACAATACTAATCTAACTTCGATCGAAGATGATTCAACTCGATCACGTGATGAATTTGTTAAATTATTAACAAAACAAGCTTATATATCAAAATCATCTAGTCCAGTTAAAATTCAAAATAATCGAAAACGTTCATATGATTATCATCATCATCAACGAAGACGATCACATAATGATAATCATGAAAAGAAAAATTCATCATCATCATATCGTTCAAATTATCATCAACGTTATTAGCATTCATCAAATACTAAAAATCAGTAAGAAAATAAATAATTTTTTCATTAGAATCTTTTTTTTTCTTGTTGTTTAAAATAGACATAAAAAATTTTCTTCAACTCGAACAGTAATATTAGTGTCAAATTGTGCACATGAAAATCAAGATAATAAACAAAATATAGATAATCAAATTGATCAACAAGAAGAAGTAGAAGACGAAGAACCAACAGTTAAACGTATTAAAGTTGATCATTCAATTTCACCATCATCATCATCAGATAGAACTAATCAAGATGAAAATCTCAATAAAAAAGATTTAAGTCTTAAATCTATAGTTACTATTCCAACAATCACTAATAGTCATGAGATTATCGACATGATCTTAATGAAAAACGACGAGTTATTTCTAGTACTAAAAATTCTGTTGTATCAACAACAACAACTGATAGTTCAAAAACAACAAAATCTTCACATTCTCGTTCACGTTCAAAATCCAAAGATGATCATCGATATGTAGAAAGATCATCTACAAAAACTTCTAAAACAAAATCACAATGAAATGAAAAATTAAAAAAAATATTCATCAAATCGAATATTAAATAGAAATGAATATCGACATGAATCAAGAAGATCATCTGATTCATCTAATAATTATCATTATAAAAGATAATCTAATCAATTATCTGATCGATATGAAATATTTAATGAAACATTTTATCGAAATTCTTTATTAACTGCATATCATCAACGTAATATAGAAGATTTAATTCAAACAAATAATTTACATAAATTTTCAACAACGATAACCAGTACGTCATAAAAGATTTAATTATACTCATGAATCAGTTGGTAATCATCCACGTTGTGCAAATCCAAATTCATTACCACCAATGCCATTGATGAATTTTAATTATCCAAAATCACCAATACATCGTCATAGTATACCATCAGTGTCAATCGGAGAGCGAAAGTGAGAAACATAAATATATTATTAGATGGTATTTTTGTAATACAATGTTGTTCGGTTCGATTGGTTCATTTTTTGTTTTTCTCAAAGTCTTCGTAGAATTGCCAAGCATGCAGTGACGAGTTCAGTGATTCCACTAGAATTTGTGGAAAACATTGTTTTACCTTAAATTCATATATAAATAGAACTTTCTAGTATTGTCTTTCTACGTCGAAAAGTTCTCTTTTATCAAAAATCTATTTCATCATGATTGTTATTAAATTTTTACAAATTGGATTTCTTCAACAATCATCGAAAAATGAGTTTTGCCTATTCGATATCAATTTTTTACTTTGATATTTTTTAATAAGTAATGCATTTCCGCTACATATATTAATAGGTTATTTAGCTTGAATATAATTCCACAATGTTACGTTCGTTTTTCTTTTGCATGTTATAATTTTCATTTTTCTAATTTAGAATAGTTCATTATACAATATTACGTTCTTTTCGAATGCAATAATAAATAGATAAATGGTGATGGCGTGAGTGCATGTTGAATACATATATATTTAGTTTACATTTTAACTTGCATATAGACAAAAAAAGAATTCTCTTAATTGAATCTTGCGAGTTTTTAGTATTGTAACAAATTTCAATACAAATCAGTTTCTTTTAACAACTGAATTTTCTAGGAAATAAAAGCTTGCAAGATTCATACGACTCATAAGCATGCACATTGTTCGTTATTATTGGCTATTGGTTTTGCGTTTTTTTAATGTTTGCTTATGCATTATATCGATAATTTTTACATAGAAAAATAATCATTGATCGTGATTTTTTAATTTCTATTCTAGTGTTCATTCACCATATTCTCAGAACAAAAATCTACTAATCATTCTGAATCAACAACAATAAATTATTCGAATTGTTTTGATTCAAAGCCATCACATGCAATTGAACGTTTACAAATAATTCTTCAAAATAAAACAAATGATAAACCATTTGAACAATCCCATATGAGTTATTCAGTAAATGAAACAGTTAAATATTCATCTTCATCAATGAATAATGATAATTCTCAACGATCATCATCATTTTCTGGAAAATCAAAACCTGATACAATTGTGCATAATAATAATCAAATATTTACTTATCATAAAACTGAAAAATTATTAAATATGGTACAATGATATCGCAATTAATAGATAAAAGTATTGTTTGCTTTTTTCATTTTCATGGTTTGCTCTTGCATTGTTTTCTTTTTTTGTTTTTTTTCGTTTACTATTCTTTCTTTATTGTATTATTTCTTTCTAAGCTTTTAATGAATAGATGAATCGGATAAATCAAACATAAAAGTGAACATAGTTAATTTTTTTTGCTTTATTTTTCACTCTGTTCTTTGTTGTAGCATAGACAATCATTGTTTTTTTATAAGCTGTACAGAAGCAAAATATTCGTGCTTATATATGCGAATGATTGTTTAAAAAAAACAAGCTCGAGAAAATATAAAATTTTATTTATAAACTAAAAAATATATACGAGAGTAGAGCCAGGACTACCGTGACGGATTCAGAATTAAAGCGAGGCTGGTATCTTCACCACAAGTGAAGAAAATTTAAGGATCATCAAAAATTTCCGACAATTGGAGGGAGTAGGTGTCTTTTCCCTTGGTTCCTCGCTCACGACAGACCTTATTAAGATCAAAAATAACCAAAAAGTCGCTCGAATATTACCTTTAACAATTCTTAGACTGTTCGGATATTTTGGCCCGTTATGACCTAACGTCCCTTCCAAGGGACATTTCCTTTAAGACGTCACAATGCATCAATAAATCAATGAAAACATTGTGGGATGATTTCCTACGGTAGTCTAACGATGTACCTCGCGATACCGCTTAAAAAAAAACAGACTTTCTTCTCGTATTCAGCAATAAAAAGATGTCTCAAAATGAAAGTTTGACACTTACAAAATCACAAGCCTAAAAAAACATATTGTTTCCTCTGACAGTTACTGAGAATTTCTTTTTCTCTTTTTTTATGAGCCACAAGGTCATTTACGTCGAAGAAAACAAAGAATATTGTATACAGAGTATTATTGCATGTTTTATTGAAATTTTCGCAATGTCTCTTGAAAGGGACATTCGGCTCTTAAGGGTTAAACGAGCTTATTGAAATAGTATATTTTTAATAATGATTTGTTTAGTTCATGGCATTTCATTTTTTTATTTATTATGATATATCACCGACAACAAGTTTATGTTCATCTATGAATATTGTATTGATTTTGTATTTTCCAATATTTGTTCTTGGGATTTTTTTTACTTATACCAACTACATTAACAATTATATTTGGATTTCTTACCTATAGAAATGTACGTCAATCAATAGGTCTTACTAATGAATATGCTAATCGTCAATTAGTAAATATGATTTGTATGCAAACTATTATAATAATTATTTTAACTACAATTCCATATGGAATTTTTGTTAGGAAACTGCAAACCAAATCAGTCCATAATGCAAATAAAATCAATTCAATTTTTAACAAACT